TCAAAATAATTAAGCAATTCAGACATTAATCTCATTAGAACATATTAGCAATAACTTTGAACAGTTATCAGTGAGGCTAATCTCTTTTTCAGAGATCATTGCCTGTGTTCTAGCAGTCTAAATTCATTGAGTCTTCTTGATTTTGCCCTGGAAACACATATGAATGTCATACAATGGGGCACTCTAGACCCGAGCTGCTAATGCTGCTAAGCCACATAGATGACAGGAGGTTGGCTTTCAACACTCCAGCCACAGGCCTGGTAATCCCCATGGCTGGTATTTCTAGTGTTCAATGCAGTCACAAGATTTAAAAGCCCTCATTTTTTCCTTGAGCATAACACTGAAAACGGAAAAAATGAAAGCTGTGGGGTTCATTTATCTCTCCCTTTACCCAGCTCTAGGAGGCTGCCATACAAACCACTGTAAAATCTAGATAGATAAACTTGCATGCAGGAATATGTAGGACTATAGAAATACAGAAATACAGGTATATAGGTATATACTATAGAAACACAAAAATAGGTATATAGGTATATAGATAGTATATATTTATAGATATCTCTATAGATATATAGTTATATAGATATATAGATAAATAGATAAATAGATAAAACTATCTTTGGGCAAAGAAAGTAAGGAACAGGGGCAACAAACTTCTTTAAATGCCAGGATAAGAGAGAGCTCAACACCACCTGCCTGTCTACAATGGCAAGAAGAAGCCAAGGTGTGCAGGTAGCATCAACGTGGCTTTGCCTGGAGCCTGGGCTTTGCTGGGAAACCCTTCCTTTGAGCCAGGCAGTAAATGCTGACTCTTTCAGGGTTTCCACTCTTTCAGGATGGAATAAATTTTGGGAAGTGACTGATAGCACCAAGGCTGAGCTCTTGTTGGGCTGTGCTGAGATGACCTGAGGAAAGCAAAAGGGAAGAGCTGCCACGTGATGGAAATCCTAGCCCATGTGGTTGCTGAGACTTTTGCTGTTAATGCCTGTGGAGGCAGGATTGCGTATACCAAATTATGAGGACCACTCCCCACCTTAGGGACCCTCATTGCTGGCCAGGTTGTACACTGGGCCTCACGCTAGATAGCAAATTCCACTGAGGGCATCATCCTGGGGACTTCAGAGGAGCCGAATAAACAGCAAGTCAAGGGGATAAGGAAGAGTCTAGAGCTAATGTGGAGGATATTATTAATTGATTAAGTTAGGGGAAGGAAGGCTTAGACAGAAAGCTGTGAAAGCTTCTTAGTAAGATCTAGCAGGTTCTGGAAAGACCCTCAGGGGAGATGCTAGAAGAAAAGCATCTGCAAACAAGAACAATAATAAGGCTTCTTGGGTCAGAAGAAGTGCACAGGAGGATGAGAGACTCTGTAGCTTACCTGGTAGCACACACGCCATGTGAAAGGCGAAGGTGAGGTGAAAGCTCAAGTCCAACAGCAGGTTGTGCATTTTATGGGAAATGGTTCTAGGCAATAGTGACTCCTTAGGATTCGCCTGCTCTACACAATGTTACAGTGCTGCCTGGTCTTCAGAGGTATTTTTTTTTCTGAAAAGCCTACAAAACTATTTGCAAAGAGAAAAGATTAGCAATGTGTGCCATATTGTGAATCTGGAGGCTATGTTGACCCTGGAGGTGTTTTCTGGGTGCCAGCAAGTTTCTGATACCAAGCAGAGCACAAAGCAGAACCTTAGAGCAGTTCTGGGCTGCACAGCCTTGTAACAGGAAAAAAAAAGTAACAGAAACAGCTGACTTCATCTTTTGCTGTGATTATGTGGGGCAGTCAGCACCAATTTTGAAAACTGCTTGATTTTTTTCCTAAAAATAGCCTTCCGGGTCACTTTTAATCAAGTCCAAATGGCCAAGTCTCTGCGCTAGTAATTCTCCTATAAATAAAATTTGACGGGGATACCTTCAAAACCAACAGCCGAGCATTTAAACAAGTTGTCTCAAACTCAGTTCTGACTCCAGCCTTGTAAATCATTGCCAAATATCACACAGCTTCATGGCCTAATCCTCTGAAGAGATATCTAATGCTGTGTAAATCTGTGTCAGGAGGACAACAGCACCTGTGATGTGTTTCAGGGTGACATTTAGGACACTATAAAGAAAATGGTAACCCGCTGAGATCCGAAGTCTGGTCTTGCAGGATTTGAACAGAATATCTTCTGCCTTGAGAGAAAGGGGAGTTACAGGATATGAGGGAGGAAGCACGCAGGTGCACGAACCAAGGCGGTTTGAAGACCTTGAGAAGATCTGACTTTCAGACATTGTGGGTGAAGCTAGCAAAGAAGGGTGTTGGGTGCTCTGTATTTGAATAATTTTCTTTTAAATATCTACATTCATTTTACAAATTAATGAGCTTCCCTTGGTATGTGAGTGTATTGATCTTGGTTTCTGTCACTGAGCATGCTATCACTGAGCTGTTTTTCTTATACCTCCAGCCTTTCTGGATAGGGAGCTCCAAGGCTTTGTGGGGTTAAGGCCGTTTTCTGCACTAAACTTTCCACCAAAGACAGAAACATGTGCCACGGTGTTACTCCTATCATGATATCTCAATAATGCCAATTATATTACAGTTTTAAGATGCCTTAGCTGAATGGCTTTAGTATATAAGTATGCTGCTATTAGACAAATCCTTCAGCCCTTTCTCCTTATTTAGGCAACATTAAGTGAACAGGGAGAGTGAATGAAAGGAGAAGGCTTTGGACTGTATGTTAATGCATCTCCAGAGTACAGGATGTAATCAAGGCTGGTAGGAAACAGGGAAGACAGAAAATGGGTGCTGCCCCAATTTGGAAGCACTGGTGAGTTTAAGATGGTTTCGAAGTCAAACACGGATTTTCATCTTTAACTGTGAGCGTTGACGGAGCAGGATTTAGGTGAAAGAAGCATTACTAGTGAATATATGTCAAGCCTACAGCATTACTTACTCTAAAAGAACTTCTTAGGTATGCTCATGTCACAGGTTCAGATCTGCTTTCTTAGAGATGGAAGCAAAGGCTTCACCGGTGATTTTTACCTCCCCAGTGCATAAGGGTCCTAAGACATGAGATCTTGATTCCAGTCTGCCTGTCTACTGTGATGTTTTTATAGCACACTCACCACTAAAATGCAGAAGTGTTTATTAAGACTTCTTCCACATCAGCCGCTGGGTCTGTACATGAGAGGTGAGTTTGTGTCACGCCTTGTTAAAGAGTGACATGTTAAAGCGTGACAGTCAGCCTCTGTGCCACTTCGTCATCTGCAGATCTGGGCTGTCTTATCCCCCCACATATCCAGCCGGCTGCACCCAGCCCAGGCTTGGTGTCTCTAAGACCGCCTGCCCTTAGGCTTGCTGTCACCCACATGCCCTTAGGCTTGCTGTCACCCACATGCCACAATAAAGCCATCAATAGGTAGAGAATTTAACAAATTGAGCACGTTTTACAAAGATGCTTAGCTGTGCAGGCAGCGCTGGTACATAAATGAACGCATATGCAGGAGAGAGGTAGCTCCGTAGAGGACACTAGCTCACGACTTAGGGGACCAGGCTCGTCTTATCCTGCTTTATCACAAACCTCATGGGTGATGCTGGGCTGGTCAGCCAGCAGTGGGGTTCAGAGGAAAAATCATCCCATCCTAAAATGCAAAGGAAGGTTTCCTACCAGAGCTGTCTGTCTTCATGGGGGAGCGTAGAGCTTCCTTTTACATTAAGCACCTATTTTTTATATAGTGTAGAAGAATCCCTGGTTTTAGACTTCGCTTCTATCTTTAAAATGGCAACAAAGCACACTTCTTCCAGGTAAGCTTTGCACAGTCACATTGCTGAGTGTGAGACAATCCGATACCACGATAACTGGGGCTGTGAAAACAGCTAAAGATGGGAGTAAGGTAACTGTGACGAGCAATATGCATAGGTGTCTCTCTTCTAACAAAAGAATATTTTCTAATATGTGAGGATTAATTTTGGTTCCTTTTTTAATCCATGCAAATTGGCATGATACCTGTGGTGTTGGAGAGCTGTTTGTTCCTCGCTCCCTAAATTCTCAGGCTACGAACACTGACTTGAGCATGCAAAACCCAGTTGCGCCACGTTTGTTAATCTGACTTGTAATCTCCGCTTCCATTCAGTTCATCCAGACTCCAGTCCTGTGCCTGATAGCATCCACATTTCTGACCAGCTGGGCACTACAAAATCTCTGAGAACATGAAGAGCATTGGAACCTTTCCATGCTGTCACCAGTTTTGGAAAAATATAGTTTATTTCAAAGAAATAGTCTTTGAGAGGTATGAACCTCAACATTGAGCACCTGTCAAGTTTCTTTCTCCCTTAGAGGCTGTGTAGGAACCAGAAAAAGTGAAAAAGTGCAGAATCAAAGAGACATGCACATCACTCTTTTAGAGTCTATGGTATAAAGTCATGTCTATCAGCAATCTAGAGGACTTGTTTCTAATTAGTAAGGACTTAAGATTGGTAATTGAATGGTAATGCTAAAATCTTTTATCTCTGCTGGAAATGGTTAGATCTTACAGGTGCTTTCATCCAGAAAGCCCTAAATTATAACACTTACGTGACTCATCATATTTTCAATAGTGGAAGATACACACACCTTGAGGAGCGTACAGGAAACCTACAGCGCGGGCGTCACAGAGCGGTGGTTTTGTAACGATGATCTCTTTTCTCATCAACTTTGCGCAACCTGACATTAAGAGGATTTCTGTGTGCTTAGTTAAAAGAAAACTGACATCTTTGAAAGTCTGTATTTCTATAAATTTTTGCATTAATCTGGAAACAAAGGGTTTGTGAGTTGGTAAGAGTTATGTATATGCGTGGATGTAAAAACCTCCTTTTTTCTGTGTTGGTCTAATTTAATGACTTCCATTTAAGGGTTGTTTTTCTTTCCCCACTGTTCCAGCTGTTTCCAACTAACCAGATGTTTCTTTTCAGGAAGGAAAGTCAGAAGAGAAGGAAAATGGCAGGAGTGTACTAACAGACTGGATTTATGCTTTGTGTCTCCATTCAGGTCTCTTTAATAAGCCTCATTGCCAGTACACTTGGATACTCCGAGATGGGTCCCATTAAATCCCTCAGGACCCTCCGAGCCCTGCGACCATTAAGAGCATTGTCACGATTTGAAGGGATGAGGGTAAGAGTATATAAAGCATCGATCAAAGCTCAACTGTGTGACATCAAGCATGTAACAGGGAACAGTTGCATGTGGTTTTGTCTTCATTTGGTCTGCAAAAGGAAATGAATGATAATGCTGTATCAAAACAACACAATCAGAAATCCCTCCTTTGTCTTGATTGCAATTGTACCACTACAGCTTTATCCTCTGGTGGATTTAATGATAAACTAATCCTGCTGCCAAACTTGTCATATTGTGCTTTAAAAAACAGCTTTTTGGCCGAGGAAGCATCTGGCTAACAATTACCTCTCAATTATAAGGCGTATCAGGGGAATAACCAAGCTACAAGTTTGCTCCCTGCTTTTGACAAGTATTAAAATGAGACTGACTGGGAAAGTTCTTAAGGACTTTTTCACTAATAATTAAAGCAAAAATTAGAAATGCTAAAGATAGGGAAAGCAAATGAATGATTATATAAAATCTTTCCTTTGAACAGATTGCAGTTTTAATATGGAATGTTAGGATTAACATTAAAACCCTGTAGCTTGTGTTTGTTGCTCTGTCTCGTGCATCCATCTCGTGCATCAATCTCTTTCCCTTCTGCATTCCTTTGCCGGCATGGCTATATCCGCACAGCATACATACCTGTTTATTTGTTAAGCCTACCTGCTACACTAATCAATTATTGTCTAGATAAGCACTTTATTTAACTCCTTCACCGTGCATGACTTGCAGATGATGACAACTGTGTTCTGTATGAGCTGAGGTTACTGCTAATCTTGCAGACTGCATAGTAAGATAAAGCAAATCTGTGACAAAATGACACGTAAAACAACTTACATTGTCTGATGATCCCAAATGTCTCCACTAGGCCAAAGAAAATGCTACAGCTTTCATACTGAGGTATATTCAGGGTAAAGATTTCCCGTAGACAAAATTTTGGTCTGAATCATCAGTGACTAAAATGTGTGGTTCATGCACTGAGCTCCTGGCAATTAACTGTTCTCATTGCAATACCCTTGCAGTAAGACAGACTGAAGACTAGAGAGCCTAACGACTGAGATAACCCAGGAAATATGGTGATAGAGCAATTTATGAAAATCCTGTGCCCATACTTTGCCTGTTCTGTGGATGACCAGAACCGAGGATCTATGCCTTTGTCCCACAGACCTCGTGATTATCTAAATCACATTATTTTTGGGGATGAAGATCAGACAAATCTAGTTGCAGACCACTGTCCTCTGTGTTAGTGCTAAGACAAAAAGATTCAGGAGGCTCTATTCATCTGGGCACCCAAACCTGAATTGCTTTGTTCACCACGATCTTTTCAGCAAACACAGGCAATATTTTAAAGGTTATTCACAAAATAAAACAAAAGCAAACTGCAGACCCTCAGCTGGCACAAAGTGATGTTGCACTACTGATGTTAATTAAAGCTCTCACTCCTATGTCATCTGATGACCTCACTCCAAGTCTTTATTAAACATATGCAAATTGAGCAAACGTTGATATCAGCAAAAGCTGCACTAGTTTAACTACCAGAGTGATTTGTGCATGGACTCTCTCAAATCAATTTAAATCTGGCTTATGAAGGCTTAGCTTCTACTGGTGGATTTGCAAGTTTAAACGAAACCCTTTTAACATATTCTAAGCTGATGTAAGAATGTTCACTCATGACTTTGCATCAGTTTAACTAAATTGGATTCAAACCTGAAAAGCAGTGGGAAGACTAGCCCAAAGCATTGGAAAAGTGAGACTGAAATAGGAAAGAAATAACGTGAAAAAGTTCACATCTCTATCGAGAGGCTTTCTGAGAATAGCAGGAGGCTGGCTTGGTGGAGATCCTACATGGCGCAGACACACAGATCAGCCCAGCAAGTTTTCTTCCTAACATGCTCATACTTGTAGGCTCCCCTGGTCCCTGACTCAACATCCCTTTTCTTCCCTCTACCATTGCTGCAGCCGAAATATATTCAGTCTTTCTGAGCTATCGGAGGTAGTGAATTAGCTTGTAAACTATGATAAAGTGTAATTGAGAATACGTGCTATTGGAAAATCAAATCATTTTATTTTTAGTTTGTCTAACCACATTTAACATGACTAGGGACAGTTAGACCTTTCATTATTAGGAGTTCATATGCTCCAGAATGCACAGGAAAATTGCCAGCACAGTGATGGATTAAATAATGATAATGTTGAGAAGCAAACACTGACAGTAAGAAAATAATAATAGTTTGCTTTATTATAATGTATTTTTCTTGAATAACTGAAAGATTTCTGCATGGCTAGAACAAGAAAGTTCTCATTTATATGGCAGTAAGAGACTTATTTCATTGACCCTGTACCTAAATTTTGGAAACAATTAGTCCTGAGGCAAAGGCAGAGAGTAGCACTTGGATGGCCAAGAGGACCCGTCACCATCAGACTTCAGTCCTTTCCCTGTCTTCAAACAGGCTGGGACCTGTCCGAGTTTGACACAAGTCTCAGCAGCTCCCATCCCATGAGAGTTCTGCAAAATAAGGCTGAACTGTTGCCGTCTTGCCTTTCCGCCCCCAAAAAAGACGCCGGTAAGACCAGTATCCCACCTGACAGTTACTGCAGACCCTGGGGGTGCCATGCACGTGCCACCACCCTGCGTCACCCACCGCTTTCCAGACGATATTAGAGCCCGGCGTAAACTAACGTAGGTCTGCCTGTCCCGAATCATGAAGTCTCCCATGTCTCCTCATTTGTTGTCCATCAGGGAATTATTTCAGAGGTGCCATTTCCCTGCAAGTTTCTTCCCAGCAAGGGAGGTTATTGCAGTATTTTAAAAGGATGAGTAGGATGATGATAGACCATTTAATGTGAAAATGATACTAGGCAAAGTCATGGTGAGGCTGCTACAAGATCCATGCAGGAAAGAAATAGCATAATTAATGCTAGTTAGCATGATTTCATGGGAATAGTTCTTGTAAAACTGATATGGTCCTTTGATTTGATTACAAATTATGCTGATGACGGTAACTGCACTGATATAATATCCTTAGATTTCAGAGAGGAATCTGATACTACGGGACATCGTGATGAAAACATGAGCTTTGTACCAAGCCAAGTAAACATATTTTAAATTAATTTAAAACGGGTGATGGATCTCAAAAAGTAATTGTAAACAGTGATGACACTGTAAATTCGGTGATGAGTGTCTCAGGGTTAGGGATCCTTCAGAATAAGAACTGTCCTTAATCTGGACTTTAACAGCATCTGGAAGAAAATATAAAATCTTTGCTGACAACACACAAAGTGAGTGGAGTAAGTGATATTACGGATAAGGGAATTATACTGACGGATCTGGATCACAGTGAAAAACAGATCAATGGTACAACATGCATTTTAATAAAACCACATACATCATACACCTCGGGAGGAGGAAAGTAGGTCACTCTGGGGGATGTTTCTTGGAAAACAGTGGCTGAGAAAGACTTAGGGATCAGGATGACCATTCAACAGGACACAAGCTTTTGGACAGCTCTGATAAATAAGGTGACTAATACTATCCCTCAATACGCAGGGAAATAACCCAGCAAGCAGAGGGATAGGGCAGTGCTTCAATACTGGAATTCCACCAAACTGCTGGAAATGGAGTGTTAAAAATGGGAAAGTCTCTGCAGCATGATTAGAAATCTGAAGGAATGATGACTGTTAGAAAGAAGCTCTGGTTTTTTAATTACCTAAAGCAATGTTCAGTGGCAACTCACCCGCAGTGAAGACAGGAATGATAGGACAAGATGTCTAACAGCAGATGACTAGTGCCTCAGGTTCAACAAATTCAACCTAAAAATATAGCACCTGTTTCTAACAGTGAGGGCAAAGGACACCAGGAACAGATTATCTAATAATAAAATTTTTGTCTGTTATTTGAAATCATGACACTGTAAATTAGACGTCTTTGCAAAAGCTGTGCCCAGGCTTGGGTAGGAGTTAAAGCCTGGGCCTGAAATTACTGCGGCAAGTCTGGTGGGCTCTGCTGTGGCAAAGGGAGTATTAACGCATCGTGCAAGTCTATTTGTGGATTTAAAATCTGAATCAGCTGCGGCTGAAAAGGTGGCCCATGAGATCAGGAGAGCTGGGCCACCAAATCTACAGCTGGACCACAAGCTATAGATTTGCACCACTGTGGCTTAGGGCAGAAGGTGGCTCAGTTTCTCGGCTATCCCTAAAGAAGGCACCTGGAAGGTGGTTTCTCCTATAAAGGTATTGATGGAAATCAAGAGGTATGAAACCTTTTCTCATACATGGCTATATATGTTGCTATTCCTAGATGCAACAAAACTTCAGCCGTTTCCACGGCAAGGTTTGCAGCTGAACTTTTAACATGAATTTATTATAATAACTTGCCTTTATGTATTCAGGTCTTTAAGTCCTCTCACTTGTCTCAGTGCAAATCAGGAGTGCTTCCAGCAGACCAAATGGCATCAGGCTGGTGTAAGAGCAGAAGCAGTGAAAGAAGAATGAAACCCCCTGTTAATATTTCATTCGGAGAGGTGTTACAGGATTTGCTCCAGCCTCATGTCGTGTTTTGTTATCTACAAGCCATTGAACATAATTCAGCAGAAGGAAAAAAGCAGGATGCAGGCATGGCCATCGCTTGCGCTGCTGAAACCGGGATGTCTGTGTCCTGTCACAGGGCTTGTGGGTGGGAGCTGGGTTCAGCAGCATATGTAACATAAACGCAGCGGCTTTGTGCTGCATGGATTAAAATTGAGCAAAAATATTGTCCCGCATAGCAGCAAATGAAAGCTACATTGACAAGAGGCTGTATCCAAATATGCCCTTGATTTGGAAATTATTTGGCATTTTGGTTAACGCAGTAAATTTGGTCTTAAAACAATGAAGTTAGAAATTGATTAACATCCAAAACTAAAAGATAAAATTAGCAAAAAAAAAAAACCCGAAAGAAATTGAAAAGTCATCACTAGTGGGCCTATACAGGAAAAAAAAAAAATTGGTCAAGCATCTTTTCCTGTGTGAAAATTAGCTTCATTCATAAATGCACAAAATATAAATCTGGGTTTTGAAAGATCTACATAATTTTATATTGTATATTGTAGATGAAGCTGCTGCTATACATGCATGAAAACTGTTTCACTCTTCCGGGTATTTTTCTTCCTCAGCAATGCAAAAATGATGGGGAAACGAATGTTACATTATTAACTTGTCAGAAAATTGGACACTAATACGAGAGAAAACAAGAGCTGACATTTTCCATAATCAGCTTCACAACTGAATAAAATTTAATTTTTATGGATCAATATCACCTTGTCTCAGTTTCAGAAATGTAGATGGAGAAGAGGAAGAGCTTAGTATCTGTCTAACAGATTTTAATCTCCAAAGTATGAGACAGAGATGGAGACAAATTCATGTAGTGGGGCTGGTGTCTGCAGCAATGCTGTCAGGCAGCTTTGCCTGGACCGTGCAATGGCAGCATCTCCAAAAGCTGGGAATATGGAGACACCTTGCTGACTTAGGAAGGGGAAAACTACATTTTTTGGTAGTGTGCTTCCCTCAGAAAATGTATGGTTTTACGCTGGAGTTTACAGCCCTGCCTGGGTTGGTGTGTAGGAACTTTACAGCATGTCACAGGAAAAAATAATACATTTTTTGTTAACTTAGAATGGTTTCACTGTTTTAATCATGCATACTGATCAAACAGGGGAAGTTGGCTTAGTACAGTATGTCTCAAGCAGTTATGATTTAAATAAGCAAAATTTATCACAGCTAGAGTTCACAACCTAAGGACTATGGAGGCCTGAGTTCAGTAAAAGATTTAAGAAAAAATTTTTGGTCTATTTTGAGACACTGTGATGTACCCCAGCCATTTCCAACTAATCGTATGATTATTAGGGATGGTTTGACTGAAGTGTATTATCCAGTAGGATCTAAGATGTCATGATGACTTCACAGATTGCTCCTGAATTAAAAGATTCCTCTTGAAAAAACATCATCCCATGGGTGGGATGCCAACAGATTAGCCCTTCAATTACAAAAGCAAAAAAATAATCATGTGTGAAGCCTTTAATGGTGGTCTGGCTCCTTAGGTAGTGTTAGTAGTTATCCACCTGTCACCGTGTGAGGGTTCAGCCTAGTCAATCACGGGTGCACAACAGCTTGTTAGCAAAGTGTCTATATAAATGCTGACATTAATTCTGTTTTCTCTCTCCCGTTTCACCCAAGGTGGTGGTCAACGCCCTCGTGGGAGCCATCCCTTCCATCATGAATGTTCTGCTGGTCTGCCTCATCTTCTGGCTCATCTTTAGCATCATGGGAGTGAACCTGTTTGCTGGGAAATTTGGGAAGTGCATTAATAAGACAGAAGGAGATATGCCTTTAGACTCTAAAATTATTAACAACATGAGTGACTGTATACTTTATAACGTGTCAGGCACGTTTTACTGGACAAAAGTTAAAGTTAACTTCGATAATGTTGGTGCTGGGTACCTGGCTCTGCTACAAGTGGTAAGTATGACCACCAGAAACTAAACTAATGGGCAAATGTTCCTTGTTCCCATTGAACTCATCAGCTTAAAGGCTCAGGTTAACCTCTGTGTTTTTCTGGGTTTTTCAGCTTTACCTATCAGGGGAATGCCTTTCCTCAAGTGTAAATGAGTCATACTTGGCATATTAATTTGCCCTAGAGATATTTATGGCAGCTTCTGGTTTTAATTTGAGTTTCTAGTGCATCACAATGTAGTCCTCTGGGAGGTGATTGGAATATTGAGGTGAACTAAAGACCATTTTGTCACTATTGTAATCCAGAGCAAAGTTCAGTTCCAGAAACAAAAAGTCATGGTCCAGGAAGGACTGTTCATGCAGACAGAGTGCACTGGCCTTCCTGAACTGCCTGGGACTTCACTATACCCTGCTGGGAAAAAAAATGAAGTCACAGTACCTTCAGTTACTCAGCTGAATTTATTGCATAAAGCTGGAGTCACAGAGGAATCTTAATTTACAGTCCTCTTCTCACCTTCCATGGAGATGTTCAAGAACGACACTGGTGCCTCTCATGCTGGTTCCTCACCACATTTCCACCTGCTAAACATAATGAGTCAGATTGAACCTAACTGAAACATGATGGTGATCAGATTGCTGTAACTCCATGCAGCCTGGTCTCTCTGGAAAGGTGGCGAGAGCATATCAGAGAAGAGATTGTTGAGGTTCAAAGATGATGGCAATATTTGATCTATAAAGACAGAAGTAAGCCACTTTTACAAACTTTTTCAGCAGCAAATGTAAAACATGGATAAACGGGTTGTATGCACAGAGATTTACTGTTGTGACGCAGCACAACCCAATGGATAGAGCCACGGGAGACTCCATCTTCTTGTCCAGGCTCTGCCACCGGACTGCTGAGTGATTTTAGACAAATTGCTTTGTGTTTCAATTCCATGGGGCCCTCATGTGAAATAGTGGTAATGATACTTATTTCTGTTGTTCCTAATTTGTTCCGAAGCCTAGTGATGACAAGGGCTGGATACGCACTAGGAGTGTTTGTTGGGTTGCATTTTATATACACAGAGTGAAACAAGTCCCTCGCTACATCCTTGGACAGGGAGGTTACCGTCTTGAAGCACCTGTGATGGCATTCCTTGCTTCTGGGACAAAAACTTGCATGCTAGGAGCTCAATTCAGTTGTCACGTATAGACATCCACCCTTTGCTATGCAGTAGGGTACTGCCCTGGACCCCCACCTGCCCTTCCAAGAGGGCATGAGCCCCACAGGTCCCCCATCAGATCTGCCAGCCTTCTCTTTCCCGTGATGCAAATTTGCTTTCTCCCAGAACTTTTTTTTCTCTGTCACAGATGCATGAAATAGCTCCATGAAGTAGCTTTCCTTTCTTGTAGAAATGCTTATCCTTATATACTCTGTTCCTGGTACACATACACTTGAGTTTGAGATTTCTGACCGCTGTCCATCGAGTCTTTGCTTTCACACCCTCTGGAAAGCAGAAAGGTTAGAATGGGCACAACCACTTTTGGTTCTTTCCATGACATAAAGCTGAACTTGCTGATAGCAAGAGCTTTTATCTTTTGCATGTAATTATGATATTCAGCTCACCCATGCAGGGTAGATTAATTCACTTTGAACGTCTTTAATTAGATTTTCCATTCTATATAGTGCTTTCTTTGTCTTCTATTTAAAGATCCAATCTAGCTGAGCAAAAATTTTTAGGTTTAAAATATTATGCTTCACCTGGAGCTTCTTATTTCCTCCATGACTGCATAGCGGATGCCTAGTTTGTTTGGTGAAAAAACTCCATCGGAGTAGTTATTTCTTCACCATTTCTATTATAAGACTCAAGCTCCAGCTTTCTGAAAATCTGCAACTTTTCATAAATTGGCATTGCCTAAGGAGTATCCTGACGCAATCTCTTCTCCTGTTCTGCAGTATCAGTTCCTGGGCACTTGACACTGGTGATAGCAGCTTCATTCAGCAGGTGGGACTCCCTTCTGTTGGGATCAGTGATGGCAGCAAAAACATAACTGGTTGTAAGGTGGATCTCAGCACATTTATGAAGGGATGGTCTAGTACTGCTGTTTTCCAGCTGAAAATGGACTTGGTAACCCTGCAGGTTTCTTTCAAAACTGTGATCCTGTGTTGGATAGCAGAGAAGTAGGTTTTCCAGTTGCAGAAGTACAAAAGCAGTGCCATAAATGTACAGCCTGTGCAGGCTGGACAAACTGATTATGGCAGGAAATGAGGGAACCCTAAAACCTTGCTCAGCTTCTATGGCAGGTGCTGGCTCCTTCTTCCACGAGGAAGGGCAGGAGCCAGATGCCATTAGGGGATTGATTTTAACTTTCATCCTGCACCTGGAGCTCTTATGTCTGCTGCTAACGACAACCTTAGGCAATAAAGTGTAAAGATGACAGCCGCAGAGAAGGGACCTAAACATCTGGATAACTTTTGCCAGACTCCAGCCAAGGAGTGTCGGTTACAGGTGCTCCTTGCCAAATATACTCCGTGTGGAGTCACATTTCATGAGCAAACTACCATAGGAACTGTAGGGGATCAGTTAACAGCTCAGCTCCCCTAAAGAGCCAGACACATCGATGCATCTTTGTGCACACTGAGACAGTGCATGGCAATGATGAGATAAGCATTTTGGTTACAACCTTCCGGGATCCAAAATATGAGCTTTTAAGTGGGACTTGTCTTTTGACTGTTGACATTTTCAGCTGCTGCAACACACCCTTTAAATGACTCTGAAGTTACCTTTGGATGCCTGAATGTGTCTGAAAATCCAGATGGAAATATGTAAAACAAACCTGTCTGCTCTGTCTTCACTTCTACAGCATCCTTGAAAGAAATAAGAAGTTCCTACTATGGAAACTTTAAGGCTTACTACTATCCAGAGGCAAACTTTCTGACAACGTAGTTGAGAACTGCATGAAACTTTCCCCAGATATCCTTTGCTCTTTTCCTACCTTGTTTAGGATCCATCATGTTGTTCTGAAGATGCCACTTTTAATTAATGAGTCTGAGAAAACTTTCATGTGAAGTGGTCAGTCAAGTTTCAACCTTCTCCAACTAACAAATGCGCCGTCTCACAACAGATTACTAAAATAGGAGGCAGTCTCTGCTCACTCTACAAGCAAGAGAAATGCCTCATTCACGGGGAGGAAAAGATCTTTATTATCATGACTTTTTAATTTGCAAGAAGGATGATTCACTCTTCTGGGGATTTAACACCCTTAACACCCTAATCTATTAGAAAAAAATTATTGCTACGACCCAGTGCTTCAGTAATGCTTTTTCTATATTCCCAGAATTGCTTTGCAGATCACAGCACCTGTGTTCTATAAATCTGTATTTGAGCTGAACACAGGAATTGTTCTTAAATTTCCAGTAGGAGTTTTGCAATTCCCTTGCAGAATCCTTTCCTTCACGTTATGATCACCTCAACATATTTTTTTGCACCTTATCTTGAAATTTCAGCAATCTATTGAAGAACACCAAGAAAACAAGTGGTCTCTCACGCAGCAACTGGCTTGCTTGGAGAAGTTCTCCTTAGGCAGGAACAGACTTACATCTAATATGTCCTACAACTCTTTGTCACTCTGGGACTCCAGATAAGGAATGGGAAGATAACAGAAGCGCTCCTAGACCAGTACAGCAATCAGGAGCTGTAGAGTTAAATCAACCCCTCATGCCAGATTCAAAGTCATGACTGAGCTCATAAATCAGCTACAAAATGGTCATGAGACAGCGGCGTGTGTCTAAAGTTACTGAGTTACATGACCTCTTGTACTTCTGTAAACCGTAATGTTAGAATTTACTTTCACTGTGGACGCAAAATGTGCAAAAAATCTGTGCTTCTGAACAAACCATAAATTGGTGTGCCAGGGTAGATTTCTCCGTGTGTCCAAAGATCAGGAATAAGCAGTATTTCCATGAGGAATTACTGGTGGAAATTCAAGGGGAGCAGAGGCAGCACCCATGGAGCCCGCATAGCCCAGCGCAGTGCAGACTTCTGGGCTGCTCTGGTGGGTCCAATGCTCGGTGGTGCCCTCCCTGGCAAATCGTCTTAATGCAAAACAAATGTAAAAACAATGTTCGATATAAAATTGCAGCTACGATGAAATCAAACAAACTGAAAAATTCAACAGAAAAGCCAGCAGAGAGTGGAGTTAGCATAGCCAACTTAAATATGTGTAGTTTGGTTGTACTGTTGGTGGCTCTCTTTTAGCTTTCAGAAGTTTCTCTCACCAACAGTAATGCTTAACGAAGCATTTCAGAAATGCGAAGACCAGTATTTCTGATGTCATAAGCAGCCATTTTTATTGCACTCTTGCAGTTCTTTTCTAGAAGAAAAATCCCCCTTGCAGATTTAAAGGCTTGTTTTATTTTAAGGCACCATTTGGTTGTACAATAAATGGTTTGAGGGCAGCTAGTGCCATCCCACCTATCCTCCTCCCCACTAATTTACTGCATTGCAGCTCTAACCACCAGTCAAATAACAAAATGTAATCCCACCCCAAGATGAGTTTATCGGTAGATAATCTCATCACATGACAGTTTCAGTAGAAAATGGTGTTTCTCTGGATAGCTTCCAGGCAGGATAATATCACAAACACTCCCATGAAGATTTTGTCACTTCCTTATCCAGAGTGTAAGTGGTTACTAATTCCAGATAAATAATTTCTTTCCCCAGTGTTATATTTCTTTCATTCTCAGTATCTTTTACCCTCTGCAGATGAAGTGTCTAGGGAAGCTTTCCAGAAGCCCTGTGGATTTTTAATTCTCTTACTTCTGGACAACTGGGAAAAACAGAAAATCACAGTACTTCATTCTCTTAATATTTATTTTTGTCAGATCACTTCATCTGTTATCGCTATAAACCACTGTGCCTTGCAGTAGAGTCTCTTGTGTCCGTGGTACACATCGAGGGGTAAAATAGATACTCAAGAGAAAAGCTTTCCTCCCAAGTGGGAGAAAAGTACAGGCTAAGATCATATCATTTTGTGCCACAGGGAAAAGGACTTCTTGTTTCATCCCGTCCACCCTTCCTGATTGGCACTTTGAGCTGGAAGCTGCAAGCGACTGTAATGACACCAGAAAATCTTTCATCAGATTAGAAAGAGAACTGCAAAAAAGGAAAACATTAGAACAGTTAAGGAGGAGCAGCATGACAGGTTCAAATAATTATTTGTTTCAATAAAACTGCTGATCATTCCTATAAACACTTTACAGCTAAAGTGGTTTTTAACACACAGTACCATGGAATAGGTTTTCCAACAGGTTCTGATTTTGGGGGTTTAAACTCTTTCAACCAGTAGATAAAAATGAATGCAACCTTTCAAACATTATTTTATATACACTTTCATGAGAAATATAGTTGACCTCTTGTACGACATTCTCCTTTGGCTCAGTAGCCTTCAGAGGGAAATGGGAAGGCAGCGTTACCTCCGGGATTTAATTTAATAATAGAGAATGTATAATGGAGCATTTCTAAAACTGCAGGATGTACCTAGCTCAACACAAATGCCTGTGTTTCTCCTGGAACCACTGGCCATATTCCTATCAGCATTATCCGGAATTGCATGCCTGCACACCATGGAGAAAATTCAACCTAAGTGTCAGTAGGATTCAAAAAAATATTGGGCTTGGGTCTTTCATGCATGCTAGTGTAAATCTGATTAAATCAATACATTTAAAAATGCCTCATTATCTGCTCACACTGATTTTATATCCGGGGCAAGTCTAAATGGATCAGAAATCAAATGAGAAACAACCCCAGAGAACTAATATAAAGGCAACGCGGCTTAGGCCAGAGTCAGACCTAATGCCAGGTATGTTTGGCATCAGGCTGTGTCTGATGAGAGGTATATATTGAGAGCAAAGAGTCATGGGTTTGCTACAGGAGAGTAAAAATCACTTCCACGTGTTTCTCCTAGGAGTGTTGTCACTACCCTTTCTCCACTGCAGGTTCCAGTAAGAGACACTGACTTCTGTGGAATCCCTCCTTGTTTAAACAATTAAAAACAAAAATTAAAAACCTTGATTTTAAAAAAAATGAAATCTGAACAGTAAAGCAGATTGAGTTTCCAGGGCCAGGCTCACAGCAGGTGTTGATTGCCTTTGCTCCTTTAAAGTCAGCTGCAATTTATGCTACTCCCTGGGCTTTGACATTGCCTTGATTTATCCCGTTTTAAAAGAGGGCAGAATCCAAGCTTCAGTGGGATCCTACAACGTAGTCACTGCCCATTAGTCTGAACAAGCAAGACAGATGGGATCCATCTCACCTGGTCCGAGACTTGTGCAGGACAGCACTCTGAATTGTCCTCTGTAGCCGTATCTCTTCATTACTTGAATTTCTTAAGGTCAAAACTTCCAAAGATTTAATTGCCATGTTTTCTCTCCTTTTTATCCCTACAACTGCAGAAAATCAGAAAACATGAATGAGAGAATCTAGGATAAAATCATTCTGTAATGATTTTAAATCTCTAAATGAACATAAATTCATGGGTACATATTGCTTTAAAGGAGAAGCAATTCATTAACTGTGAAGAACATGCTCAACATTGCATTTTGAAAACTCATCACAGAGGTGATATCATCATTTCAAGATTGCTTATTTAATATGCTTAATTATGTATTTTGTGGGGTGTTTTTCAGGCCACATTTAAAGGTTGGATGGATATTATGTATGCAGCAGTGGATTCACGAGAGGTAGGTCGCTACAAGAAAATGAATCATTTCCTTTTCCATTGACTTTTGCAGCATTCATGGCGTTTAACAATAACAACAAAAAATACATGCAGGTTGCCAGTTCCTGTCTTACTCTGGTTGAGACAGTTGCAGACCTTCATTTTTTGCAGCTGGTATTGAAGCATCACGACCCTGAGATTAAAACAAATGCAGCCCTCAGTTCTACACAACTGATTTACCTATTCATACCGCAAAACTCCTAGCACAGAGAGGCACCTCCAGGGTGAGACCGAGTCTACCAAAAACTTAAATTATCCTCTCTGTTTCTTCCATTCTCCCCATTGACTGCCATATTCTCTAACTTTTGATGATAAGACCTCTTTAAAAGCGTTGGGTTTAAATTACACTCCTCTGTAACCCACAAACTCAACCTTCCCTGTATCTTCACCTTGAGCAAGTTTCTTCTCTTCAACCAGCAGCTCCACTCCAGGAGGGTGGAGGAGCTCCTGCCAGGGAAAGAGGCTGATATGTGCTTCCAGCTCTGGCTTAAGACATGCTGGAGCTCTGGGTGCTGGTAACTGCCCTGGGCTGGCAACCAATTCCTACCTAGATTCCATTCAGCTTTCAGGTTTCCTAAAAAAAAAAAAAAGGCATTTCCCTTGCTACATCACATATGGTTTGTTTATATTTTATTGAAGGAGATGATGCCTCCTTTCCCCTTTTTAATAATATTAAAGGAACAAGATTACACTTACTGTTAATTTTTGAGGTAGCTGCCTGGTATTGGGAATTTGACAGGCTGAATTGAGTAACAGGGAGTCAAGCCCTAAATGGAGGATGATGCAACCAATCGTATCCTGGGCTGCATCACAAGCAGCATGGCCAGCAGGTCGAGGGAGGGGATTCTGCCCCTCTCCTCTGCTCTGCTGAGACCCCACCTGCAGCACTGCGTCCAGCTCTGGAGCCCTCAGCATAAGAAAGACACGGACCTGTTGGAGCGGGTCCAGAGGAGGGCCACAAAAATGCTCAGGGGGATGGAACACCTCTCCTCTGAAGAAAGGTTGAGAGAGTTGGGGTTGTTCAGCCTGGAGAAGAGAAGGCTTTGGGGAGACCTTATTGCAGCCTAGGACAAGGGGGAATGGCTTTAAACTAAAGGGGGGTAGATTTAGACTCGATGTTAAGGAAGAAATTTTTTTATGCTGAGGGTGGTGAAGCACCGGCACAGGTTGCCCAGAGAGGTGGTGGATGCCCCATCCCTGGAAACATTCCAGGTCAGGTTGGACGGGGCTCTGAGCAACCTCATCTAGTTGAAGATGTCCCTGCCCAGGGCAGGGGGGTTGGACTAGATGACCTTTAGAGGTCCCTTCCAACCCAAACTATTCTATGATTCTATGAATAAGGGGTGGAAAAACCTCATGGCATCATAGGGGCAGAGAAGTACCTTTGCATAACATAGCGCATGATGTTGATTTATTCTTGTACTACATGTACACATGCGCGTATCCTCCCTGCTGCTGAATGAAACACATGGGTTACACATGAGAAAATACGCCATTTAGGGAAATGTGAGCTTCTGGCATCTTGGTTAGATACCTGGAGCTGGTGGGGCAAATCTGAGCATTTTTGTCAAATGTGGTACATGTGATTTGAGGCTATCGGACTGCGTTGCTCAGTTCTTCATCAAGAGATCTTATTCATTACCACCCTTCATAAAAGAAAAATTGTACTTCTAAATACAGTGTTTTTCAGTAGCATTTAATTATACTACGATCATACTTTTGCTTTTTATAAGTACCAATAGTTCATATAAGATTAGGGATAATCAGAAAATTAATTCTTTTCCCCTTCTGGGTTCAGACTGAGATCATTTTATAGGATTTATTCTGAAGTTGCACTTTCCGGAGCAGTGTGACCACTGTGATAGTGTTGTGAAACGTGGCTGAAATGACCGTGGCATTGCAGATGCCAGTAGTAAACTTCAGAGACCGAGGAGCGCTGACTCTGCTCGTGGGAGTTACGCTGTTTATCTGTTTCATAATCTTTATTGCCAATGGACAGTTTTCTTTGAACTGCATTAATATTTTGATATGTGCAGACATGGTGTCATTTTCACATTTTCCCGTTTCCCTTTGCAGTGTGAGGAGCAGCCTGAATGGGAATGTAATTTATACATGTACCTGTACTTTGTGATTTTCATCATCTTCGGGTCTTTCTTCACATTGAACCTCTTCATCGGTGTCATCATTGACAATTTTAACCAACAAAAGAAAAAGATAAGTAGTGCATATGCTACACATCACCTTGTGATTGCTGCAGAGGCTAGGGCAAGGGATAGATTTATAAGGAGTGGCTTTGCCACATTAGCCTCAAGATTAGCATTGACAGAACAGCCGCAGAAACCACCTTGCAGAACTTTTACAGAAGCAGAGTTGTAGCAGCCCCTAATGTCCCCATAGGATGAACATCCTGAAAATACAGGCTGGGGGATTATATCCCCCGCAGAAAGCAGTGAAGCAGCTCCATGTAAACGGGATCTCTGGCACAAACTCTGCTGCAGGGGCACAGACCGCCCTGGTGTCCCCCGTGCACAACCACCACCGTCCCTCAGAGCAGTGCAAGCTGATCACCTCAACCCATCGCCTCCCTGCCCCAAGGTGCAGCCAGGGTCAGGGAAGAGCAGCCTGGCCTGAGAGCTGTGTTTCTCGCTGCTTTGTAGACTCTAAACAAAGGGCTGAGGTTCTTCTCTTTCCCCCTCTTGCCCTGGATCTACCTCGAGTGCAGACAGAATCTGAGTCTTGCTCCTCCTTGGTTGCCTGCACTGCTCTGTGTCTCCTGCTCTTCGCTTCCATGCGATAAGCAGCTCCCAGCACTGCACCTCATCAAGCTCTTCTTAGATATTTTGATGAAAACTACATGAAAAGGGAAATAAGAAAATAGAAGAGGATGCAGCCCTGAACTTTGTATGGAGGCAAGGGACCTCTTTTCATCAAAAGTAATAGCTTTGTTCTCACCCTATACTTAGGTGGCCAGGATATCTTTATGACAGAAGAACAGAAAAAGTATTATAACGCAATGAAAAAGTTGGGATCTAAGAAACCTCAAAAGCCAATCCCAAGGCCACTGGTAAGAATGGCATAATTCAGTTGAACTATGTGTAATAGCTGAATATTTATTTAATAGAATGAATGCAATTCAACTTCCCAGTGTAGGAAGAGTGATTGCTTCCAGATGAAAGCCACTTAGTATTTACATGTTTTGATTTTGGACAGTATTTGCAAGTCCAGCGACCTGTGTGGTACAAAATTCCCATTGTTCTGCAATATTGACTAAAAGTCCAATTTACATATGCAGTCATGGCAGTGGCCACATGTCTGCATTGAATGAATTCATGGCCCCAGTCCAAGGTCTTTTTTCAGCTTTTCCAAGAAGCATTAGGAGTAAATGGGTTTGAAAAATCTATCATCCAACCATTCCTCATCATCTTTATGTTTATGAAGTTCTAATCAGAAGCAGTACATTCTCTGTTTTCCTCTACTTTCTGATCAATCAGGAGACAATGATGTCATCATTTTGACACACTTCAAATTTCCTAACTAAATCTTCTCCTTTCCTCCAGAACAAATACCAAGGTTTTATTTTTGATGTCGTCTCAAAACAAGCTTTTGATGTCTCCATCATGATTCTCATCTGCCTTAACATGGTTACCATGATGGTGGAAACAGATGATCAAAGTCAAGAAAAAGTGAACATCCTCCATAAAATCAACATGCTTTTTGTTGCTGTCTTCACTGGGGAGTGCATCATCAAAATGCTGGCTCTGCGACACTACTACTTCACCAACGGCTGGAACATATTTGACTTTGTCGTTGTGATTCTGTCTATCGTAGGTAGGTGAATCTAGATTTTCACCCACACTGCAAAGTTAAAAAGGCAGACATAAATTTAATTAGACAAAGTTGAAGGCTTCATGCAATAAAACACACTTTCAACTCAGAGGATTAGATCCTAAGCATATTTTTTTAATATTTAAATAATACAACATAATACTGCCTAACAATAACTTGTGTGATCAGTGAAATTATGAGGTCTATCACACCACAGTATTGGTTTCGATGTACACTTAATGGTTCCTGGTGATAAAACATGGTCCAGAACTGGCATCATATGCTTAACCCCAGTTCTACAGAACAGCCAAAGACAGAGAAGTAAAAAAGCCACATGAAAAGGGCACATGCAGACTGCTATTTTTTTGCTATTTACTTTTTATTACATCAGTGTGAAATAGCCCTTCAGGGCAGGTTCAGACAGGTGCAGTGAGTCTGGCTGTTCTCAGCCCTGTCGTCTCTGGAGCCCCGAATGCTTATCTACCCAAGGGACAAAACAGAGAGGCGCAGTTGTTAATTTGTGCCTTTTGCTGTCCTGCAGCCCTAACCATAGATCATATGTTAGGTGCTACAGAAGTGCAGGTCAATTGTGAATCTGAAATCCTGCCAAAAGAGTTTTCATTGAAGTTGGAAATAAAGTAGCAACTGGACAATGATCAACTGATCCAGTGAGCAGAAGGAACTCAGAAATTTGGCTCTTCCAATACAGTTTCCATTTTGAAGGAGGGAATAGGTGAATGAAAAACTGTCATGTTAGGAAAACAGAGCCATCTTCTCATTGACTGATGCAATCAGATCACCAGCTTTTCAGTGCTGACTCACAAACACTTTACAGACAAAAATATTGTCAAATCAGAAAAATTCTGACCAGCTACAATCAGGACAAATGGCTCAGGGGACCAAAAGTCATGACCAAAATTCCTGACCAAAAGCTGCAGATCGGTATGTCCTGTCTGAGTTGATGCTGGTTTCTCATTCCCAATAGACCAGCTTTCCCTTAATAAAACTGTGGCTACCATTGACACCTGTGCTCATAGTCTCAAAAGTTTGCCTGGATTAAATGGGCATGAAAACACTAATGACAATGCCATTCCCCTTATCATAGGTCTTCCAGTTTGAGGAGCTTCTCATTGATTTTGTCCATAATCCTGACTGATTGCTTTAAAGGGAAGCCTGGAATTATTACCCATCTACTAACTCACTGTTTGTCTCTTTTCTTCTCAAGGCACCGTACTTTCTGACATCATCCAGAAATATTTCTTCTCGCCCACACTCTTCAGAGTCATTCGCTTGGCTCGGATTGGCCGGATCCTAAGACTCATCCGGGGAGCCAAAGGAATTCGAACTCTCCTGTTTGCCTTAATGATGTCCCTACCTGCTCTGTTCAACATTGGCCTCTTGCTTTTTCTGGTCATGTTCATTTATGCCATTTTTGGCATGGCTAACTTTGCCTATGTTAAGAAGGAGCATGGGATTGATGATATGTTCAACTTCCAAACCTTTGCTAACAGCATGCTCTGTCTCTTCCAAATCACAACGTCAGCTGGCTGGGATGGTCTTCTCAACCCTATTTTAAACACCGGACCACCGTATGTCATGTTCATATGCCATTTTTGGCATGGCTAACTTTGCCTATGTTAAGAAGGAGCATGGGATTGATGATATGTTCAACTTCCAAACCTTTGCTAACAGCATGCTCTGTCTCTTCCAAATCACAACGTCAGCTGGCTGGGATGGTCTTCTCAACCCTATTTTAAACACCGGACCACCGTATTGCGACCCAAACCTTCAGAATGCAAATGGTTCAAAGGGAGACTGCGGAAGCCCTGCCGTAGGGATTTTATTCTTTGTTACTTATATCATTATATCATTTCTCATTGTTGTAAACATGTATATAGCCATTATTTTAGAGAACTTCAGTGTAGCCACTGAGGAAAGTACAGAGCCTCTAAGCGAGGATGATTTTGATATGTTCTATGAAATCTGGGAGAAGTTTGACCCTGAAGCCACTCAGTTTATTGAGTATTCTGCACTTTCAGACTTTGCAGATGCGCTGTCAGAACCTTTGCGCATAGCGAAACCAAACAAAATCAAACTCATAGCAATGGATCTGCCCATGGTCAGTGGAGATAGGATCCATTGCTTGGATATTTTGTTTGCTTTTACAAAAAGGGTGCTAGGAGAATCTGGAGAGATGGATGCCCTTAAAATACAGATGGAAGAAAAGTTCATGGCGGCGAATCCATCTAAGATCTCTTACGAACCGATTACAACAACTCTCAGACGGAAACAAGAAGAGGTCTCCGCCATCATCATCCAGCGGGCCTACCGGAGACATTTGTTTCGGCGCTCCATGAAGCAGGCATCTTACTTGTACCGGCACAGAACTTTTGACGGCAGCATCTTCGAGGACGATGCACCCGAGAAGGAGGGTCTTATTGCGTTCATGATGAACGAAAACTACGGCAGGCCAATAGACAAATCAGAAACTCTGTCCTCCACGTCTTTCCCTCCATCCTACGACAGCGTTACCAGAGGTACGAGTGACAATCTCCAGCTGAAGATGACGGACTCGAGCAAAAGCGATGAGGCTATAGATTGTCTTCTCTCACCAGACAAGGATAAGGAATCAATTGTTTAAACGTTTGTTTAGAATGCTTTAAAATATTGTTTACAGAATGTAATGCTGTAACTACACAATGATTGAAGCAGCCTTCTTATTAAAAATTAGTTGCAAAAGAAACAATGGAGTTTTTACCCTTAACTACAGGAGTCTAATAACTCATATAAGCTTTGGCCCTGCTCATTTTGACTTGGCTCAATATTTATATTTATATATGCACAGAAAGAATCTTTGCAGGGTCATAGCTGTTATATCAATGGTGTGAATAAGAATATGCTAGACTGTAAAACAGTAAACACAGTGTATATCTATCCACAGATAAAGCCTGGCTGTATACATTCATTTAAGGTCTTACTCATATTAGTGTGTTTACTTATGGCGATGTATGACCTTGCATTCTAAAAAGAAAAAAAAAAATCACAGCTGCTGTAGCAAAATGTAACACTTACTGTATATGTTGTGAATGGTCTTTCATAAATTTATTATATTTGATATTTTTTTACTTAAAAAAAAAATGTCTCTTTTTCCATGGAGATTAATGATCCTTACACTCTTCATGATGAACTCTGAGTCAAGGTAATAGGAACTTGCGGGATCGCCATCGTTTCAAGAGGAAAGTTGTTGCAAAGTAAACTATCAAATTAGCAACATTTTGCCTGTTTATTACACTAAGCCCTCCCTCTTGGGACTTGCAACTGCTCATCAGCAGAAATACAAAAAAACAGAGAAGGAAATGATGTCAAAATGATGACAGAAATGGCTTGTTCTATCCTTCAGGAAACTAGACAGCAATGGATTCTGTTTGTAAAACTGTTAATAAAAGCACTAATTTTTTAGTATGTTTCAAGAATCTGCTTTGACTACCGCAATCAAACTCGCCATAGAAGTAGTGCATCACGTTTGTGTGTAGTGCTCCAAAGCACCATCTACGCTGGCAAAGTTTCTGTTAAGGTAGTGGGATAGGTTACGTTTTCCCCAGGAACACTGAGCTAAGCAGCCTTATTGGAAACTCTGTGCATCAATATTACTCCAAAAATACTACTACTACTACTAATAATAATAATAATAATAAAAACAACGCCAATTGGACCGTGCAGAACAGCTGTGACAGTGTGATCAAGAAGGTGGGAGGGGAATTGCCTCTGGATCTGTACATAAATTTTGAGGTTTTGAATCCTTTCTACTCAGTGTCCATCTTTCATTTTCTCAGACGGTACAGTTAGATTACTAGGGAAGGACAAGAAATACAGGAACCAATAAAAAGAATCTATCGTCTACTAGAAAACGGATATACCCTCATTCCTGTAGGCAAAGTAATATTTACAGTTGATGTGTCCATCAGCTTCAGGCCAAAGAAATGACAACAGGGTGAAAGGTGGATGTGTGGCTATAGAAAAGTATTAGAGATTTTACGTGCTAACATAGATTACTATTTATTATTAAACTTTCAGCCTTGATAGAATGTGAGAAAGTACTTATGGAATATAGAGACAATTCCATCATTACAGACAAGTTCTTTCTTTTTCACCTTCAGACTGATTGTACTTGGGTTTGGTTGGACTTCATGGAAAATCTTGAGATTTCTGTAATGAGCCATTGCACTTTAAGGAAGAGTAATTGTGCTTTTCACCTTGGAGAAGCAAAGATATCAAGAATGTATTTAAGGTGTATTGTCGTTGACATTTAGTTACATCCCAGGTTGTAAAGGAGTCAAAATCCACATGGGGTTGGCAACAAGAATTAAAGCGACATGTTATAGTCAAGTTTATCTATAGCCATTGTTATCTGTCCTCTAAACAAGTCAGAATATGTAAAGACAATATGTCAAAAGGATGACGATGTATCTGTGTAAATATGGGCTAATATATTCTCTCCATTCATTGAGAGGTGTCTCAGGCATTCACTTGAGAGTGGTCTATCAGTTAATTCAGAGGATTTGCCATCAGGATTCCTGGGGTTTATTCCTGATGCTTACTACATGATTTTTAGGCAAATAATTTAACCTATCTGTGCCTCAGTTTACCCATCTGTAAAATGGGGATAATAATACTTACCTACCTCACAGGGGTGTTGTAAGACTTTCTGGTTGCAACGTGCTATAAGGGAATGAAACGTACTATATAAGTATTATTATAATCATGCTCTCTTGCCCTTTTAACCCCATGTCTATGATGTGTAACACAGGGCTGTTCCTCTGGGGATTTTGTTGCCTTTAAATCTTGTATGTAATTAGATTCTAACTTAAGGGAACTACTCTTTGTTCCTTAAAGTGAAAACACTCTTTATTCTTTCCTCCCTCCCCACCCCTAACCCCCCCCAAAACCCAAAATTGCTCAAGGCTTCTCAAATTAGAGAAACTTTATACAGATTCCCTGTGTATTTATGCTGTAATGTTATTCTGACTGTACATATCACCCAGAAAGAGTATGCGATTTTTATATTTATATGCATATATAAATACACACATACGTATATCTATACATATATATATGTATCTTGTGAGTTTATAGAGTGGCTGACACTCAGAGGACACGACTTACTGATTAAAATGTTTTCTTCTCGATGGGATTTATTGATCATTAGCAATGAGCTGCTGCCTATAATGAAACTGTTTCATTAGAAAATAGTACATTCATTACTTGCTGAACAAGCATTTATTGGCTGACAACTGGTAAAATTATTTTTCTTTCAAAGCTTTAGAATAAAAGAAGAGGGGAAAACACTAAGAAAAGGGAGCATTTCTTATATGATTTTTTCACATACAACATAAACTGTTCAAAACCCAAGCAAAAAGCCAGCCTGCGCTCAGCAGTGCAGTGTTGGTCATGCTGTTTAAAAAATATTTTAATTATTTGCAACTTATATTAGAAAATATTCAGCTGATATTCTTATTAAGAGTCAGGCCCAGTAATGAACAGGATGTAATGGGACAATTAGCTGGTCACCGATTATATTAGAGAAGAACTCTTCCTCTGGTCATCTCACCCTTGTGTTGAACATTTTATTGCCATTGCTGTGAGACCCTATAGTACAGATGCAATTACAAATGGTTCTGTCTTCTACCCAAAACCTGTAAAAAAAAAAAATCATAATGCAAAAAAGTCTGGAAGAGGGTCTTAACTATAGATGTTTACAGTGCAACTTTCTAAAACTGAATTGTAAATTACTTTCAAAACCTTTGTAACTGGAAGGTTGGTTTTCTATTGGGTTTTCTATTGTCTTGTGGCACATTTCTTTAGAGCTGAAGAGGGAATGGTATCTTTGTATGGTATGCAGAACTCCCCTCAAAAACTTCAAATAACCTCACTTGCAGATCTTTATTAATGGAGATGCTGATCCGAATCTAGCAATGATATAACCTCCCGGTGCAGTGATTTAGTTAAAGACACTAACTCAATAGTTGGCCCACACTGTCTATAAGCATGGTGAGTGCTACCATTTTTTCTGTTGATTTGTTCAATAAAGGCTACCACATGAATCACTCAAGCTACGAAAAGAGCAAGGAAAATATCAGCCAATATCATAGGACATATTAAGCTGTTTGTACCTGGAAAAATTCAAGTTTATTATGTTTCCTTATTAAATAAATAAGGATAACAAATATTTCCTGTGCCTTTTTTTTTTTTTTTTTTGGTCATTTTTTTTATATCAACATTTATGTTGTTATTTCTCTGACTCTTTTTCAGCACATTTGTTTGGGAAATGCATGGTGACTTTCGTTAGAAGGTTTGTCAATGAAAACCCCTCCAGTTCATCTTGCATTGTAAGGCTAACTACAGGGCATTAAAGGCTTGAGCTAAAGCTTGTTGAAATCGATGGAGAATTTCTGGGTACTTCAGATGAATTTGAAGCAGACCCAAAAGCTTTTCTTCAAAGAGAGTAATTTATAGGATGAGCCCAGCATTGATATTTCAACCCATCCCACCCGGTAGCATTAGCTGGAGGAGAAAGGTTTTTACTGGAAACACAGGATCCCACCTAGAGATTAAAAAAAATGTATATATAAATGAGGTTTCCTTAATGGTAATATGGATGTCTTTCCAGTTCAATTATATTGATTTGCATTTTGGTTATTATTATATTAGTTATATGTTAAAATTCATACTAAACAAAGAGTAACATCCTTCCCGACGCATGCGTGCCCTAATGCTGGAAGGAGCTTCAGAAGGGACACGGACAACCTTTAGCTGTCATCAGCGATGACTGAATCAGCCTTATCTTCACCCAGGCTAGCACCAATTTGGTTACCCTGTTTCAGTGCTCTGATTTCTATTTAAACATGGCAGGTTCCTAATCATATTAAAACAGAACAAAATTGAGCTGGTTTAAACCGCAATGAAAAAGTCCACTCAGTCCTTTGAATTAGTGTAATAAAATCAGTTTATAATCATGTTTTGCATTAACCTGGGGCAGTCTGACTTGTGGAAAAGATTTTTTTTTTTAAAAAATAAGCATTTGCTAAAATGTGTCATATAATAATATGACTTCTGAGTAATTGTGTGTATAGAATAAATCTGTCTGAAAAATTTTCAGCAAGATATTTTTGGTTAGAAGGAGCAGTTTGCTGAAATGAGAAATCTCTGTGGAGATATGTTAGCTTAGTTAAGGAAATTCCTGGTTAGAATTTGTGGTCAAAATTCCCGTGGGAAGGAAATTCAGGGTCATAATCCCTACTATGAAAATTTCCACGCCTAGATTTTTACCAGAATCGCCTAACTCCTATACATGTGTTCCCATCACTGTGCTAGGGGCTGTTTTGGGTTACAGGACTCTCCTTATTTTCATGCAGATCTTGGGGAAGTTTCTAAAGGCTTTCAGATTTTCCATTTTTCAGGATGAAATTTAAAAAAAATTTGCCAGAAGGATTTCTTGTTTTCCAGCCCTAGCAAGGAACCTAGAGGACTGGCTCCTCACTAAATGCGTTTTTTTTTTTTTAAATCAGTCAAATTATGTTGATTTTACAAAGCCGCATATCTATTAAATTAAGCCTGTGTGAAATCCATGAGATCGGAGTCAGG